CATTTCTAATTTAAACAACCACCTGCCACAGAATACACTCCCAATGATGATTAACACCATATTACTTGACTTGACTCTTTTCATGTTTCCTTTATTCTTGCATTGTTCTGGCCTTCTCCAAAAAGATTACACAGTCTCAATTACTGCTTTCATTCTTTTCATATTCTTTTATTTCTATCCCAATTTTGTTATCAGTTTCTGTTTCTGTTTGTACTTGACGCTGAAATCTCTACCCATTTCCCCTTCCACTACCATTATTGGATTCAGCCCTTATTTTGTAGATGTCTCTCAGACGAAATAAAAACAGGATTTAGAAAGTTGCATTAAACATGTTATGCATGAAAGCAAAATGTGTAATGATTGTTGAGAAATTGCTTGAGGAAAAATGGATTTTTTGCAAGGCCAGAAAATGCAGCAGTTTGCTCAAATCAAAGATGGTACTGGTATGATGTATTGTTTGGATATTCTAATTTGGGTAGAGTAGGCTAAGGGTTATTCAATTAGTAACACAGTGATTGAGAGTACAACTTTCCCCATAGTGTTTTATTAATTGAATTCAATAAATCTGGTAATCTGTGGGCTGACACCAGAGAATTATTCATATGGAAGTCTCTGGATTGTTATTATAACAAACTGATTCACTAATGCTTGTGTGGGTAAAATTCCTGCCACCTCTATGTCACTGCGGATGACTTCATCCCTCAGAATCATCTTGATCAGTTTTGCCCAAATCCAGCAAAAAAAGTAAAAAAAATCTCAATTGTCATCAGGTGTTGGATATAACATAACTTGTAAGTATTACAATCAGGAAATAATAATTACAATAAATAATCATTATAAGATACAACTAAATAATCAATATTTTATTAAAAATAATGTCAAATTATTATTGCTTCCAGACTGATTATTTTTGTCTAATATATTCAAGTATCGACAAGTTCTCAAGCATGTATAAATGTGTTCATGCTTTTTGACAAAATCTTTTTATGCACAAAATCAACATTTCTGTTTAGAACACACGTTTTGTAATCTCGTAAGAATCTATGAACGCTTAGACACCAGAAAAGCCATTTTGCACTACCAGTTCAAAGATTTTTGTTCTTCCTATCATGTGACCAAGGGTTTAGGCAAGTACAGTGTGCATAGGGGAAGAGATTATGCTTAATAAAACACATATTGAAAACGATGGTGGTAATGTTAATTTCTTTTGTCAGATGAGAAACTGATAGCAGCAGCTTATTATCCCATTTTACACATCCTTCCTAGTTTTCCATTGAAAAGGTTAAAATTACCTTTCATTTGGAGTGTTCAATAGCACGGTCTGGTGATGTTTATGGATAAATAATTTCACTGAATTATCCAGCAGAATCACCAATGATATTTTGTAGAAAATCACTGTGTTAATTCTCTTAAACCATTCGCAAAAAGTGTTTTGTCAGCATTCTGAGACATTCTGTTACATTGATTCATGCTTTCATTTCTCTGGTTTTGAACAGTATTAAAGGACTAATCCAATAGTTCTGACAAAATACAACTAACAGCTCATATCACTTGAAACTTGAGAAATAGGTCAATTAGCATTTATTTAAAATAAATTAATAGTAGTGCTCTACTCTAATGGTAAGCCACACTACACATCCACTGAAGGACAAGATCCATCTACAATTGTGTTATATGTAGGACAAGGTAAAATGTTGTGCATTTCAGAAATGCTGCTAGTTAAAAAAAATACACAAAGCCTATACATTCAAAATACTCTTATTAGGTGAATAAATTGGAAAGCATATGCAGTTTAAAACATTTGGTACTCAGAAAAATCACTACTGTACTGATTCTTATTACAAAACTTGAGATTGAAAAAATATTGGAAAGTTTGGTTGAAAATATAGGTTGCTGAGACATTTGAAAGTGGAAAGGGATTTAAAAGAAACAAGGGGGACGGTATTGGAAAGAGAATTTCAGAGCTTGTATAACTGAACGCTCTTACTTTAAAGCACAACAGAGGACAAATTAAACTCACAGGCCTTAGTGGAAAGAATGGCAAGTGCAAAATAATGTGAAAAGTTTGAAGGTGTTACAGCCAAAAAGGAATTTGTAAGAGAGGAACAAAATTTTTAACTGAATATACTTGAGAACAAGTTGCTTGCTCAGATCAGAATGACAATAAATAAGCTAGATTTGGTCTGGGAAATGCAGATGCAATGTGCTAAGTTGTAGAATCTCAGCCAAAGGATGAAGATGAAATTGGTAAGATTCATTGACAGTGGAGTTGAGTCAGAAAGCCAGTGAGCGATCTTAAACAAGCAGAAACAAGTGGTCCTGGTGAGTAGCACAGTACAGGTTAGAATCTCAACAGAGGATCATCAAGTTACGTACAGAAACTGACTTAACGATTACAAATTGTTGATTGGAGCATGCAAAACGGAGACAAGTCAGGAGTTTAGGGATGGAGGAAGGATAGACATTACAGCATACATGTTGGATATGTGGATGTGACATGATGAGTGGAGTATAAATGAAAGAGAATTGGTGCAGCACAATGGAATGGCTGACCATACTTGAAGGCTGTAATGGGGTAAAGGAAAACAAGGAGAGACAACAGTTCTGATTTTCCCATTATAGGAAGAATATTACTAAGCTGAAGAGGGTTCAGAAGACATTTACCAGGATGTTGTTGGGAATGAAGGGTTCGAATTATAACGAGAGGCTGGATAGGCTGGGAACTTTTTCACTAGAACGTAGGAGGTGGAGGGGTAACTTTATAGAGCTTTATAAAATAATTAACGGTATAGATATGGTGAATGGCAGGTGTCTTTTCCCTAGAGTGGGGGATTTAAAGACTCAGAGGCATATTTTTAAAGTGAGAGGAGAAAGGTTTAAAAAGGCATTGGAGTAATTTTTTTTTAGATACACAGAGAGTGGTTTGTGTGTAGAATGGACTTCTAGAGGAAGTGACGGATGTAGGTACAGTTACAATGTGTAAAAGACATTTTGATAAGTACATGAATAAGAAATGTTTGGAGGGATATGGGCCATGTGCAGGCAGACGGAACTAGTTTAGTTTGCGATTATGGTCGGCATAGACTGGTTAGACCGAAGGGTCTGTTTCTGCGCTGTATGACTCTATGACTATAACAGGATGTATTGGCTATCATAAAGATTGTAATTGCCAATTTTGGCCCAAGCAGCCCCATTGTTATGATTCACACTAAACTGAAAGGACTGAAGGCAACACTGCATCTGAGGATCTCAGAATGAAAAGGAAAACTTTGTAGTTTTAACAGATAGTACTGGAATGAAAAATTTAATTTTTTTAAGAATTCATTTACAGGATGAGGGTGTTACTGACTAGGCAGCATTTATTGCCCATCCCTAATTGCCCAGAGGGCAATTATGAGTCAACCACATTGATTTGGGTCTGGAGTCACATGTAGGCCAGACCAGGTTAGGATGGCAGTTTCCTTCCCTAAAGGATACTACTGAACCAGATGGGTTTTTCCTGACAATTGGCAATGGATTCAAAGTCATCATTAGACTCTTAATTCGAGATATTTATTGAATTCAAATTCCACCATCTGCTGTGGCAGGATTCGAACCCGGGACACCAGAACATTTCCTGGGTCCCCAGAACATTTCCTGGGTCTATGGATTAACAATCGAGTGATAAAACACTAGGCCATTGCTTTCTTTTTGAGGTGGGAAGTAATGGTTCTAGTTTTAAAGTTGAGATAGCTCTTATGGTCAGTAACCACTGCGTCAAGTTGAGGTTGCTGAGTGGTTAGGAATTGGATTGGGATGAATTGTGGAAGCCATAAATCGATCCCACATAAGAACTGAATCTGGTAATTGGTGGTGAGGGCAGAATTGGGAGAAACTGAAGAATTTACAGGGGATTGGAGAAGGAGGGAACTAGTCAGGAACAAACAAATACAGTGATTGATGTAAAAACTGTTCTTTTACAGGAATCATTTTTATTCATATTAGGTAAACCAATGTTGAGCTAAAGATAGCATTAACTCCCTGTAATATAGCTAGTCTTGTTTGATATGGAGTATTGTAAAGAGCTAATGAAAACAGAAATGTAATATATAAAGTTGCTCATGTCATTTTCAGTTTATTATAATTATACTTATATGTGTGCAAAGAAATACAAAGGATTAAAAATATTATTCTCTAATATATTGATGGCAATTTTTTAAGAATTACATTAAATGGATTAAAGCATAATTGGAAACATAAAACTATATTTCTAAAAATCATATTGCCTTTACATAATTTGTCATAGGTTTTAAGACAAATTGTAACATTTAAATACACTACCCTGTAATTTACAAACTTTAGGCTGGTTAAACATTCAGAGTATTGTGTTTGGGTCTCTTTAAGGAAAAATATGCTTGCCACAGAGACAGTACCACAAAGACACACCAAACAACTCCTGAGATACAAGATTTGTCCTTTGAGGACAGACTAAATCGCTGGAGTTTAGAGCAATGGCAAGTAATCTCATTCAAACATACACATCTTTTACAGGGGTTGATAGGACAGGTGCAGAATGTGCCCACCGGTTGTTGGGTTTGAACCGGGGTCAAAATCTCTGAGTAAGGGGCAAGTCATTCAGGATTGAGATGAAGAGGAAGTATTTTTGTTCAGAGAGAGGTGAATCTTCAGAATTCTCTCCCCTGAGGACTGTGAAGGCTCAGTTGTTGGGTACATTCAAGATTAAGATTGATAGATGACCATATTTTAAAAAAAAAGTGATACAGGGATAGTGCAGAAAATGGTGTCAAAGTAGATGATGATTTTACTGATTAGTGGAACTGGCTTAAAGTTCCAAATGACCAACTGCTTCAATTTCATATGTGTGCTATCTACATACATTTGTTAAAACTGTTGAAAATATTGAACTATAAGTCTTACCTTTACATGCAAGATTATAACACACATAACTCTAATGCACCTTGATTTCTTATACCCACAAGAAAAACAAAATATCTGCTTACCTCTTTGCTACCTTCTAGGTCTGATTCACTAGTGAAGTCTTCTGTATTAAGGTTTTCAAAGTCTGACTCTCCCAAAGCTATTGGAACAGTAACAGTGAGGCTTGGATTGTGAATAAAGGACATATAGTCACTTTCATCAGCATTGTATTTGCCCATACTGCTGCCGATTCCACTGGTGGTGCAATTTCCATCCTTATGATAGTCAGCATCTTTAGTGATTTCAACAGTTGCATGATCAGAGATATATATGTCTTTCTTGCTATGCAAATCATCAAGAGGTTTGATGTCTTCTGTGACTTTCCTCCTGATAAAGGCTCTGTGAATTAATTCTCGCACATTCCTTTTAACATAATCAATGCCTCTCTGTATCCTCCCCATAGCAATCTGCAGGTTATTCATTTCACTGTCATCATCTGTAGCAGCAAGGTTGTCAGCACTGAATGAGCTCAGCAGCAAAGCCAAAAATAAATTCAACACCTGGCGTTCAAAAAGCATAAACATCAATGTTCTAATTGATGCTATACATCCATACATAAAATAGGAAACGTAAAGCCTTTTCTGTTTTTATTTCAAGATTATGCAATATTTTGTATTTTACATTATTCCAGGTATTTCACTAAACATGAAATGTTTCTCCTATAAACATAATGAACACATATATACCAGGGACTGACTTCTCCCAAGACAATATCATGAGCTCAAACTTAAACAATGATTAGGTGCACTTTTAAATTTTTTTCCAAAAAAAATTCAAATTGCATGTGCTAAAATTAAATTTATACAAGTACGATTACTAATATTTAATTTTTAATATCAGTCTTTTTTATTTATGTTTACTATTTACTATTCTAACCATATGAAGTTCAAAAATGTTTCATTACGTACCACAAGATTACCAATTACCATGACCATCATGAAGACGATGAGGCACATTGATTGTCCAGCTACTTCCATGCAGTCCCACATTGTCTCAATCCATTCTCCACACAACACACGGAACACAATTAGAAAGGAATGAAAGAAGTCGTTCATGTGCCAGCGAGGCAGTTTACAGGTCTTCTCAATTTTACAAACACACTCCTTGTAGCTTTTACCGAAGAGTTGCATGCCCACCACAGCAAAGATGAAGACAATGATAGCCAACACCAAAGTCAAGTTGCCCAAAGCACCTACTGAGTTGCCAATAATTTTAATCAGCATGTTCAAGGTCGGCCATGACTTTGCCAATTTAAAAACTCTGAGCTGAAAAACAATGGTTCATTACAAACATTATTCATTAGCATAATATTTCTTTCTTCAGTAGTTTTACCGTACCTTCTGGACTTCTCACATGTAACTTCTCTTGCAGAAAATCAATTAAAATAGAGCACGCAATTTATCAACAACGAACATAAAGTGACTTTCAATGAACTGTAATATTGTAGCATTAGAATACAGTAAAAATAATTTTGTATGAAAAAATGTATAATTACCAATCGGAAAGATCGCAGCACAGATAGTCCTTCCACATTAGCGAGACCAAGTTCCATTAGACTGAGACTCACAATGATGCCATCAAAAATATTCCACCCTTCTTGGAAGTAATAATAAGGATCCAGGGCTATGATTTTGAAAATCATTTCACCGGTAAAGATACCAGTAAATACCTGGGTGAACATATGGGGGTTATTGTTGCTTTTTCCACCTTTCACTGAAAATTGCACACTGTGAAATTTCTGGCCACAACCTGTTACATGATCAGTAAATGTAATAAAATGATAGAGAAACTGAAACCTTTTGAGGATCACAGTGTCCTTACAACTAGCAGGTAAGGCAAGTATCTTACTTATCTCAAATTTTGCAGTCAGTCTCTATCAATTTTCATGGAAAAATGACACAATGGCAATCAATCATGTGTGTTTAATCTTCTACTTTTTTCACATTTGCTTATTCTCTATTTGTAAATCTGCGTTTTGCTATAATGTTTTTAATGGAGACATTTCATTTAAAATAAATGGATTAATGCATCCACTAAAATAATTGATTTTTTTTTCAATTTGAACCAAAAATTCCATTGCAATCTGAGTCACATTCATTATTTGTACACTCATTACCAAAAAAAGATTTGCTGGGCTTTAATTTTCAAACTTTTTTTGCAACCATGTACATTTTCATAGCATTGTATTCTCCAGCATAATTGTAGTGTATTGGTGGAAGTTTAAGTCTGTAATCAATGTTCACTTTAATGAACTACAACATGAATGTTGATAAACTGTGATAACTTTGCTGACATTCAAGTGAAATAAATAAATCTATCAAAATATTATTGTTGAGTTCTATGATTACTTAATAAGAAATACTTAATAACCACCTAGTAAATATTCATTTCAACATCAGTTATCTAATTGCTTTGTTAAAAAAAAATGTTCCACTTGCATGACAAGCCACACTGACTTAATTAGTTAAAAGGAAACTAATATTGGCCTAAACTAACCAACTTCTATTTCAGAAGACTTTCTTATAGGACACCTTGTTATTTAGGGGATATTGATGGCAGAACACATACCAAATTCCCATATGTGAGTACACCTTCAAAGCTCTTTGTCATTGGGTAATGTTCCATTGCCATAAAAGCAGTGTTCAGCACAATGCAGATAGTAATAGCAAGATCCACAAAGGGGTCCATCACAATTAAATGAACAATTTCCTTTATTTTTAGCCAGTGTGGATGGCAATCCCAGATCAAGAAGGTATTTGCAAATTTATACCAGCATGGAGGACACTTCTGTCGTGATTCTTCAAGTTCTGCAAAATGCAAATAAAATGCAGTTATAAAAAATTGCCAGAATAAACAAATAATTTTATAATAAATCTGAAAGCTGCGACAGTAAATGGTCACAAAGTCAGGTTGTGCAGTGCTCACATTTGCAATCCTGCAGGTGCATTTTAAAGTTGAACATGATATCCACATTGCCTGTTCCGGTTTCGGCCATGCCTAAAGTCATTTTGGGTAGGTTGCCAATGTACGTGCAGGGAATGTATGTCAGTAGTGTGCAAAATTGACAGATCTGCAACACTGATTCAACAACAGAGCTTTTGAACTAAACATTCCAACATTCACTTTCTCCCAGTCATATTATTATTATTCAGCAGTCTCCTCTCACTCTTCTGTTTCTGCAACACTGCCTTGCTAAGAATAGCAAAAGACTCAAGGACAGGGTTGCAGCGAGGAAATGGAACGGGGTGAAAGTAAGAAGGTCATAATTGTACAATCTGCAGTTTATTCATCAGGAAAGATTGAGTGACATAGGTGAAATGGAAAGTTGGAGATGGATTCAATAAAAACATATCAACTTCTTTGATAATTTCAACCTAGTTGCTGTAATTGCTGTTCCTTTGATGTATAACAATCCATCTTGGGTCAGGTTGACAACATGCAGCCATGTGTATCCACAGGGGTATCTCTGGCACTGGCTATAGTCGCTTGCAGCCTTATTTTGTAGGAGAAAGTTAAAAAAACTTGTAGGCATATGGTTCAATTTGTTCAGAAAGTGTGCCTTGAACGGCTGGCATGTGCCAGCTGTAAGATATAGTTGTGAAAGTTGCAGTAGCACAAAGTCTGTGAGGATGTCGTGGAACTATAAGAGTGAAGTATGAGTCATAATTGATAGAAATGTTTGGTGTGTGATTCAGTTCTAAGGATATGGCATTCAAATATGATGTTGATCATATGAGGTGATTAAATATTTTTCTGCACTGCATCTACGTCCTTAGGAATTGGTTGCAATTGTTATCTGTTCCAAATGCCTTTGCAGTGTTTGCTTGAAGAGTCTGCTGGTTCCCTGTGGAAAGATGAGATCTCTCCTGTCCAACTCTTGTGCTGCAATAAGAACCTTGGAGTCTTATCTCTGCCCTGTCACACCATTATTCCAAGTTATTTCTGCTCAGGCCCTCTTCTCCACTGCTTTCAGCACTTGCTGTAGCCAAGTTGCTCCTCTGTTTTAAGAGGATCAGTTGATGGTAAGTGATGTTGGCTAGCCTTAAATGGTTTGAATCTCATATGAGATTCTGACCCTGTTGAGGCATACAGCCACTCTCAAATGGTGCAATCATAGAATTGAGCAGGCAGCAGAAACTTTGCCTGGAGCCAGAGAGGAAAGAACAGGAGTAATTGCAAATTGTGAGCACCCTGCCTTTTTTTTTGGGGGGGGGGGGGGGGGTTATTCCATTTTATTCTTAATAATTTTATCCAATGCAGAAATTAAAAATGACTTGCATTTTGATACAGAAAATAATTCAGGTATATTGTCAAATCCCCACAGAAATGCATCGCTTTTTCAAAATCATTCAACTGTGTTTGTATTTCATGGATGAGTGGGATTACAATTGCTGAGGATAGGATTTATTATAATCCTTTTCAAGCTATTTATTGTCTAAACCATTTAAAAAAGCTTTTTAATAACTTCCGCACAAATCCATTTTGTTTGTTTAGATTTACAATGTCTTACTCAACCCCCTTATACTACAGAAAGTGTTTCATACTGGTGTACATTTCCACAGGTTACAGGTATTCTCCATAGTCAAATATCCACTTGTTGGCAAACTGCCTGACTGTACAGACAACACAATCAAGCTCAATATTGTATCTAAATTGTTTCTTAGCAATTAAAAATTCAGGCTATTCTGACTCTTAAAGTCACTTGCCCAGACATTGTTATGGTTAGATAATAGTTTCTGCAGCGAGGACTGGAGTTGTGCATTGGGATCCTGTGAAAATCCCTGACACATTAGGCTCTGAAGGAATTAAATTCTGATGGGTAACTCTCAGTATCCGTCATCCTCCCAGAAAAAACATAAATGTTAGAGAATGTGGAGGACTCCAACTCACTTAAGCAGAATAGTTACCGAGGAAATGTTATAAGGGAATAAAACCCTACTTTAACTCCTGGGTAATGAATAAATTAAAACCTCAATGCATCCCTTCCCCTTCTCCGCAACAACACAATGCTACTCGACCTCGCCCGAACCAAACGCCTCAAATACAGCATCTCAGGAACCAGCACAAAATCCCCCCAGAAGCAATCCAGTTTCCCACACCCAGTCCAAGACCTGACATCACCACCTCTCCGACCTTAACACTGCCAAATAGATGCCACTCCACCTTCCCAACCCAACATTACACCCCCCTTTCTGGACTCAACTGGCACCTTGATCCATACCCAGTGATCAGACACTCCACCCAAAAAAATTCCTCTTGATCAGACATGCTCCCATACCACCCTGGCTCAATCCAACACTACTTGCAAGTCGTAGACTAAACAAATGTCTGCGTTTGGGGTATTATGGATATTTGCAAATATAAAAACTGAATGCACATGTAGCAAGCTTTGTAATATACCAAGAGTAAGTTAAACTGTGCAGTTATGTTGTAAAAGCCATGTATATTGTTAATGTCTGTGTTTGGACTTAATGGTATTGATATTTTGGGCTCATGACCAGACTGTTCTTAAAGAGTATCTGCAGCCTATCTTTGGATAACTAATAAATCATAGGCCTATTTCATACAAAAGTCTGGAGAGAAATGCATTATAGCTTCAGAATGAACAGCTATTTAGCTTTTTTTCAAACTGATGCATCTTTCATTTAAAAATGCAGAATTTAGTGCTTGAAGCCAAGTGGAAACATCAAACAGACATTAAAATATTTCACATGAATTTACTTTTGTTCTTGTTTTCATGGCTTCATAAAACTTCCTCTTTTACTATCTATTTTTGTATTATTAAAATCAATTGTATTTATGCTATGATTTATCTTCCCTACTTCTTCAATTGCTGCTTAATTCTCTTACTCAGTTTCACTGATCTCCTCAGTAGAACAATCTGGAGTGATAGGATGGTGCCAGTGAACCCCAATGTAATGGCTGTTAATATTACATTCTAGTCATTGCCAGTCTCTCTATTTTCTAGGATCATTAGGTAATCAAATGTCACTGCAAGACAGCATGAAGAAGTAAACAAAAAATAAAGAATGAAAAACAGAAGGGAAGGGAATCCTTTTCAGTAGTTCAGAGAACTCAGAACTTAAGCTTCTCCAGAAAATTCTGATTTTATCTAGTGAAAAAAAATAACAGCACATGCTGGAAATCTGAAACAAAAACAAATAGCTGGAGAAACTGAACAGGTCTGAAAAAGGGTCACTGGGCCTGAAATGTTGACTCTGCTTTCTCTCTACAAATGCTGCCAGACTTGCTGAGATTCTCCAACAATTTCTGTTTTGTGTGAGCATGAAGAAGGCACCATAGTTAACTAGGCACAGTCACTCTTAGCATGTTGAGCACCAGCTATGAAATTATTGTTCCTCATGATTAAAAATAATTGTGGGGATTGCACTGGAGCATTTATTCAACACAAATGAGCAGGATCAATGAATTTTGGACTTTAGGGCCTCAAGACTATGGTAGAAGGTGTAACTATTTTTGTGGCATCTTTGTCATATCACAGACACTCATGGTGTAGGTAATCAACTTGAAGCTCTTTGCAGTTGAACCTTTCCTTCAGGAGTCTGTGAAAATAGTAACGATTAATCTGAAGGATGATCATGTTGGAACCATACGGGCTCTGGACTCAAATACCTCCTTTGCTCTTTTTAGAATTTACTCATGAAAGTGGCATCGCCGACTCGGCCAGCAAATGCCAATGAACCGAGTGGCTTACTTGACCATTTCAGAGGACTGTCAAAAGTCTACCACATTGCTGTGGGTCTAGAATCACATGTAGACCATGCCAAGTATGAACGGCAGATTTCCTTCCCCAAAAGGTTATTGGTGAATCAGATGGGTTTTTAAACAATAATCAACAACGGTTACACGGCCAGCATTGAGCTAGCTTTTAATTCCAGAAATTTTACTGAATTGAAATTTCATCATCTGACATGGCAGAAATGCAAACACATATCCTGGAACATGACACTGGGTTCTGAATTACTTGTACATTATCACTACATCACAATCTCCCATTAGGAAAGCTGAGAGACCATTTTCCAGAACTTGCTTTTTCACATATCAGCAGAAGTGCAGTTCAGATGCAGGGTACTTAGTTCAGTAGCAGGGCAGTCAGGCAATAGAAATGAAAATTGGCGCTAACAACCATGATAACACTTCTGCAAGTCTTCAGCCACTTCATCTAATGTTTTTCTCACATGTCAGAAAGCAGTCTACAGCTGATTCCTTTCTGTATGAAAAAAAGCACTTCAAGATCCTTTGATTGCATCATCGCAGTGTACTATTTTTTAAGTAGTTTCTGCTAGGGAAGCATTTAATGAGAACAGTGCAGTTATTAAAGGAAACATGATGATCTGCTCCAAGAATCTTATACTGCGGTGGGAAATAACTTGTACACCAATGGACCAATACCATTTTTGAAAACACTGAAACGAATGTTAGGTTGTTTTGGCGAAGTGCTGGTTGCATTAAGTTTTTTCTCAGGTTTTTCACTGCAAGGCCTAGCACATTTTCTTGCCATAGCTTACCATACTCACCTCAGTAATTACTTACCCAAATGCTGTGGCATCCCTCTTGGATGTTTCTAGACCAATCTTACCATGCTACATAGCAGGTCAACACACCATTGCCAGAACTGCCCAGCATTCCTGATGCCAGTGACATCTTTAAAAGTTTTAAAGAAGCGTAACACCAGACTTGTAATATTAACTCTGTTTCTCGCGCCATAGATGCTGAGTTTCTCCAGCATTTTGGTGTTTTTTTTTTCCAGTTCTCCAGGATCTACAGCATTTTGCATCTTATCTTTATAAAGCTAATGTGCACCTGGACAAGCACTGTCAGTCCAGAGCTGCCCTTCATAGTTCCCGTCATTTGCCCTGGACGTGATAGCTAAAGGGAAAAACGCCTTCTATTTTGCAGGCAGGGACCCAGAGATCCTACTGGATGGGGTGGTGCACAGGCAGGATGTCCACATCTGCCAGGACTAGAAGAGGAGGCCACAACATAAGACCATGCTGTTCTGAGGAAGGGCCACCAGATTCATAACATTAACTCTGTTTTTTCCTTCACAGATGCTGCCAGACCTGCTGAGCTTTTCCAGCAACTTTGTTTTTGTTCCTGATTTACAGCATCTGCAATTCTTTCAGTTTTTATAAGACCATGCCAGCCTGGTCTGAGGTTTCCACCCAGGTCAGTGCAGACTCAGCTGACTAGAGGAATGCCCAGCCATTTATGAAGATGGTCAATGACTCAGCCAGCATAAATGCCATCATCTTCTCTCCAATTCTTACACTCACTCTCTCACTCCACTACTGCATGTCCATCTCCCAGCAATGTTCATACTTTAACATTTTCAGAAATGCCTGCAACTTCTTACCCTATTTACTGTCACTCAGCCCAAACATCAACACCACTAACTCGAGGTAACCTCTGTGTTGCCTACTCACTCATTCTGGACACTTTCCTACCTGGACCAAAAATAACAGCTGGGCTACCCACTTCCATCTCCCTAATACCTGCTTCTATCTCATTCCAGAAGGAAACCAGGCTATAATAGGCCAGAAAGTGGTTAAGATAGGTGATAGGCTAATTAACATTCAGCTCCTCACCCCTTGCGTGGAGACTCTAACCACACTGAGTGACTGTGTCTATGACTGGTTTTGGATGCTGCCCCTGACTTATTCTGCCCGAACTCCCTGACCAAAACCTCTCCCCTGATTTAACTGAGGACTGTTGACAACCATAACAAGCTTCCTGACTTTGTGTCTGTGCTAACCAGCATGGCAATAAATCTGTACTGTGCGAGTGGTAAATGTGTGGCGAGGCAAAGTAATACAAGACAGGGATGCTGTGAGCATCTAAGTAGGTTCAAAAACCGAGTATTAAGTGCAGAAATTTCCTCTAAGTGAACTGGAGATGTGTTATGAGGGATCATGGAAGTTGACATATGCAGAATGTTAGCAATAATGGGAGGTGTATTTGTTAAGATAGGAAGCGGAATATTGGTAAGGCAGGTTGCGATGTTAAAAAAAATTATAATCCCCCATTTTTGGCAACTGGCAAGTTTCTGGTTTGAAAGCTGCCTCACCACTCAGTGGACGCTCAAAACATGCAGAAATTGTTCCTGACATCGAGATCGGTATTGTTGGGTTTCTTGCGCAACTCTGACACAAAAACCAAAAGAACTGCAGATGCTGTAAATCAGAAATGAAAACAGAAATTGCTGGAAAAGCTCAGCAGGTCTAGCAGCAGCTGTGGAGTGAAATCAGAGTTAACATTTTGGTTAATCGGAAATGAAAACAGAAATTGCTGGAAAAGCTCAGCAGGTCTAACAGCATCTGTGGAGAGAAATCAGAGTTAACATTTTGGGTCCAGAGACCC